CCTGTTTACACTGTGATATTAAGCAAACCTATGATATGCCATACACAAATGCTCGTATATTTTTTCAAACATATTGATGTATAAGCCACATTTTTCATCACAATGTCTGTTGGAGACAAAGGCAAATCAGGTGGTGTCTTGTTTAAACTAAATTGTGCAGAAATAGCTGTATTGTGTTATCTGTACTGTTTTAGCTGTGTTTCTTGTATTTTGGACTTTTTGTCTCACATTTTATTTATTCGTTCTTAGGTTTGCTTAAATGGTTTATGATCTCTCGTGAAAAATAAATTATTGTAAAGTACAATAAACACTGTATACTGTTTGACCTCCTCTTTACCACCACCCCCCTCCCTCTCATCGGTATGAGGGCAAGCGCGCACGGTAAAGCTGGAGGGTGGTTTCTTTCTTATTTTCAACAGTATACGATAAATTTCCGTTTTTCTCCCCTCTCCCCCTTCCTCCTCGCTCTCCCTCTCCACCTCCCTCGCCTTTTCCCACTCCCAGCTTCCACTGAAGGAAAAAAGAAACCAGCTCGATGGATGTACAGAGTGTTTTTTAGTTCCCAAAGAAGTAATCAGACTCTCCGCCAGAACAGCAGCGTGCAAAGCCACTTTTGCGACTGCGCATGAAAGCAAAATTCGATGGGCAGATTTTGCTCGCTTTGCTAAATAACTAGTGTATGTTTCTTATCAATGAGTGATGTCCGCGAAAAGCTCGTCGACCACTCGGCCGATACGTACAAAACGTTAGTATACAAGCTGGAGATATGCAAGCAGCTCAGGGCCGAAGTACCCAGCATAGCCAACAACACAGTCATTGAGTTTTCACAACGGCTGTTCACGTCGTCGTGAAATTCACGAGATAATGCTTAAGGACTCGTTGTATCAAAATTTTTATTAAAACGCTCATCTCGCTCATTTTACTAATCTCCAGCCCTGGAAATAATGGAAAGTAGAGTATGTAGAGAGGAAGATGCCAATTTTTGCCTGCTGGATTACAAAACTGTTCTTCTAAAACAAAAAAAAAAAACCAAAAAAAAAAACGAAACAGAGATGATGGCAAGAAATTCAGTCCAACGAACGCGAAAATTTTACTAT